TGGGGCTTGCTTTTTTAGCATATTCAGATGCCAGTGTTTCAGTCCATTTTAAAATATAAGGTGTTATGTTAACAAGCAAAATTCCTCTTTGGCACAGTGAGTCACTGGTGTGTAATGATTACATTATTTCACTGATATTTGAAGTTGTTAATTTTATCCTTAAAAGAAATCACTAAGTCTGTTTAGAATAGAGTTTTAAATGCGTTTGTGTGTGTGAATTTTAGGGGAAGATGAAAGATGCTATGGTCTGGTTAACTCTACAAGAGAAAAAACTACAGAAGATGCTAAAGGACTCAGAAAATGAGACCTACTATAAAAAGTATGAAGTAAGTATGACTTCTGTTTTTTAAAATATATTAACTCCATTTATTCTCTTCAGCACGTAGGACTATTGTTAATGCCAAGTATGACTTTAAACAGCAATTTATTGGCTCTTTACTCTTAGGGAAGAGTTGGATGTTTTTAAGTCTGTTTTTAGAAAAAGCTTTTGAGAGTAATTATTTAAATACTAAGTTAACAAGTTTTTGTTTTTTGTTTTAAATCCTCACCTGAGGATATTTTTTCTATTGATTTTTCAAAGAGAGCGGGAGGGAGAGAGAGAGAGAAACATCAATGTGTGAGAGCACATCAATTGGTTTCCTCCCACACATGCCTCGACCAGGGCTGCCGATGAGCCTGCAACTGAGGGACGTGCCCTCGTCCGGAATCGAACCCGGGACTCTTGGAGGGCTGACACTCTATAACCATTGAGTCAAATAGGCTAGGGCACTAAGTTAACAAGTTTTAAGGCTGAATTCTAAGACTTCCAGATTTTAATGTGCATATGAATCACCCGGGGGATCTTGTTGAAATGCAGGTTCTAGTTCGGTAGTTCTGGGGCAGTGCCTGAGACTCTGCATTTCCAGTAACCTCCCTGGTGGTGCGGATGCTGCTGGTTCTAAGAGTGCCTCGAGTAGCAAGGTTTTAGAGCGAAGACTGGCAAACTGTGGTCCGCGGGCCCCACCACCTGTTTTTGTAAATGCGCTGTTCTTGAAACATTGCCATGCCCATGAAAGGACTGTCTGGCTGCTTTCACGCCACAGCGCCAGCGTAGAATAGTTGCTACCGGAGGCCATTAGCCTGCAGAGCCTAAGGTATTGACTATCTTGCCTCTACAGTGAAAGTTTTCTAATTCCTGGTCTAGAGCAGAACGTGCTTTTCAGAATGAATATTGAATGAAGAAAAAAATCAGGAAATCAGGAATGGGGCCATCCCAGAATTACTAAGAGGAGCCAAAGTGAAGGCTCTGCAGCCCTGTGCCTGAGGACCCGCTGTCCGTGGGGCCCTGTGCTCCCCAGTTCTCCCTCCCAAACAGGGTGGAGCTCCTCTCAGGTCCCTGCACGCACTGAGCCCCTGGGCCTCCATTTCCCTCTCTAAGCGGGGAAGTTGGATGAATCCAGCCTTCCCAACAGACATTCAGCGGAGCCTGTGACTTGCCCACACACCATCCTTTTTGGTTTGGAGCCATCTGGGAAGGAAGGGATCAGACATTCTCCCCTTCCTTCCATCTGAACCGCATAGCCTTCCTGTGCTTCTTTCCCCTTCGCCTGCTACGTTTTTCATTGACAGGGTGCTCGGCGTCCAGTGAAGTGCCTTGCTCTCCCATATATCTTTGATTTCATAAATACCACCAATTCAGGTTTCTTAACTAAAAGGCTTTATGAAGTTAATAATTATCAGAAAGAATTTAAAATAATTAGCCTTCAGTGTGCTCATAAAATTTAATTTAAAATGCTACCAGTAATGATGGATAATGTTTTAAATTAAATTTTATGGAATTGATGACNAGCCTTCAGTGTGCTCATAAAATTTAATTTAAAATGCTACCAGTAATGATAGATAATGTTTTAAATTAAATTTTATGGAATTGATGACTCTCACACACCAGTANTGCTCATAAAATTTAATTTAAAATGCTACCAGTAATGATGGATAATGTTTTAAATTAAATTTTATGGAATTGATGACTTTCACACAAATATGAACCAAGAAAAGTTTATTAAAATGTTGAGGGCAGAGACAAAGTATTTTTGAAAATCTATGTAAAATTACTTGAGAAGAATTGGCTCAAGCCTAGTTAATCATAGATGCTTCAAAAACAATTTATACATGATGACTGCTGTCATATAATTCTCACTTTCTCTCATTGTTATTTTGTTGTGAACACATATTTGGGAAGGACAAGCAAACTCACATTTTCCATGTGGCATTCTGACTTGTCCTCCTGAGCTGCGTGTCCTTGCCTTTCCACTCCAGTAGAAATCTACCAGGACTGATGTGAGACCAGTCTACGGCATATGTTACTATGACAGCACCTGAGTTACCAGGGTGCACTGAAGAAAGGAACTGGATCAGTGAGGGGATCCTGAATTTAGGGAATTTTACCTTTATCTAAATAAAAATTTAAATATAACCCTCCTATAGCTATGGACCTTATAGTTGCAGATTACATTTTGTAAACTGACTTAAACATTTCAGTGCTTAAAATATTCTTCTAATTGTAGAGCCTGCTGTCCTTTTTGGAGTCATTCAATGAAGGAAAAAAACCCTTTTTGGACATCCTGTCGATGAAAGAGAATCTGAATCGGCTGAATGAAGATCAGTTACAGTTGAGAAAAGCCTGGGATGGCCTCAACTACCAGGTTACTGTGTTATGTTGATTAGAAGAACATTTTCATGGGGCAGCTTTGTTGGAAGAGAACTTTAGATTTCCATGAGGAATTCTGTAAAAGACAGAATAGATGCTTCAGCAGAAAGTTGGGAGAGTGTTCTTATATTTTCTCTATGGTCTCATTTGGGTAGTGGTTGCTATTTAAATAGGAATTTATAGAATTCTACTTAGAAAAAATTGCACGCTTATCCAGAGTTCTTACGTTTGCCATCAGTTCTTGGCTTGCCATAGTAGATTATCCATATTCTGATTCATCTGCAGCCTCCTCTCTACCACAGACCAAGGTCATGTTACCAGTAGATGCTCAAAGCGGGTCAAGACAAACCCAGAGAGAATGTGTAAGGAGGAATGTGTGTATGTGTGTCTGAATATATTGGTGTGATTTCAACCATTTAAAAAAATTTATTGAGACTTGTGTTATGGCCCAGGACATGGTGTATATTGGTGCATATATTATTTGCACTTGAAAAAAGAGCATGTATTTTGTAGGTTATTGGATATAGCGTTCTATAAATATCAATTAAGGTGGTTGATGGTGTTTAGATTATCTATGTCTTGACTGACATTTTGTCCAGTTCTGTCAATTGCTGATGAATCCTTCCTTTAATTCTGTTAAATTTTGCTTCATGTATTTTACATTTTGTCATTAGGTGTATACATTTATGATTGTTATATCTTCCTTATGAATTGATATTTTTACCATTATGAGATATTCCTCTTTATCTCTGGCAATATCGTTTTTCTTGATGTCTGCTTAATTTAATATCAGTACAATCATTTCAGTCTTCTTATGCTGATTGTCTGTATGGCACATCTGTTTTCATTTACTTTTAACCTTTTTGAGTCTTTATATTTAAAGTGCATATCTTATGGGCAACATATAGTTGGATCTTGCTTTCTATTCACTCTGACAATCTCTGCTTTTTAATTGGAGTGTTTAGTCAGCTAATAGTTAATGTAATTACTGATATGGTTCAATTTAGGTTATCATTTTACTCTTTTTTTTAATTCCCTCTGTTTTTGTATTGCTATTCTTTTTCTTCCTGCTTCATTTTAGATTATGTTAATATTTTTAGAATTCTATTTTAATTTTTCTATTGGCTTTTTGGCTCTATATCTTTATCACATTTTTAATGGTATTACAATATACATTCTAAAATTTTTACAGTCTACTCAGAGTTATACAACTTCTTCGTTACTGTGTAATTTTTAAAACAGAAATTTGCAATTAAATTGATTCATTTATCTCTCACTTTTTATGCTATAGTTGTTTTGTATATAAATATATATATGACACAAATATATGTTTTAAAGTCCCTGAGACCATGCTATATATTTTTGCTCAAAACAGGCATATATTAAAGAAATTAAGAGAAAAAATTAGCCTTTTATATTTATCTAGATATTTACCATTTCTAGTGTTCTTCATTTCTTCCTAGAGATTTGAGTTTCCATCTGAACTTATGTTTCTTCAGCCTGAAAAACTCCTTTAACTTGTAATGCAGGTCTGTGGGTGACAAACTTAGTTTTCCTTGATGTCTAAATGTCTTTTTTTGCGTTCATTCTTTTTTTTTCTTTTTTTTTAAACATATTTATTGTGGTATAGCTTATACACCATGAATTCACTAATTTAAAATGGATAATTAAATGATCTTTAGTGAATTTACAGAGTTGTAACACAGATTGCATGATCTGCAAGTCAAAAGTGTTCTTTGGCCCTGGAAAAGTTTGCCAATCCCTGCTCAAGTCTCTTGGCCATCAGCAGCAACAGCCTGTTTTAGAATACATTTTTTCACACCATTATGAAAAGTGTTAAATAGTGTTCTACTGGCTTAAAAAAGCTGCCTTGTCAGAGCACCTAATTTTGGAGAAATAGTGCAGCTCCAGAAATCTTTCCCATCAGTGGCCGTGCTCATTGCATTCTCGTGTTCCGATCCCAGCTTTGACAGTGACCCCTGTAAAGGACAAGAGCTCTCTCTTACAAATCCTGGACAAAAAAGAGATATTGTCTGTATAGTTCAGGCTGTCCCAGGCCACAGAGACCTGGCCTAATTTTCTGAATATGATTTGGAAAAATTACCCAAAATAATGAGAAAAACCATAAAAAGAACTATTTTGCAAGATTAAGTGCTGCAAATTGATAGTAAGTTGAAAAACCATTCCTTAGGTAGAATGCAGCTCATTTTCCTGGTGTGGGAAAATGAAACATTAATTTTAAAGTCATCAGATATATTAAAGAAAATACCATCTAGGTAGTTTCTGGTCCAGTTGTTTGAGAACACAGATATCTCAAAGCATCCTAGTAAATGGTTTCATTTTAAGCCTGCTATGAAGAACGGCAACATTATGTTATTTTGACCTGACAAGATCTTATAGAAATTTTCAGCCAAATTCAAAAGTAATTTCCAACAGTGAGAAAGGGTGGGACCATGTTATCTGTGTTAAGTGAGAAAGGAGTGATTGAAAGGTAAACATCGCCTTTTCTCGTTCCTCTTCTGACTTCTCCATAGGAGACAGCCCTGGGTCAGAAAGTATATATGTGGTTTCATTCCAAAAATGTGCAGCTTTCTTTTAGTTGTGAAAAGAATAATAATTGAATTAGAGGTATTATGTATAGCCTCTCCTTAACTCAATCATTTATCAATTTTCTAGTTTATTTTTATTTTTTGGCAAATGCACAAATAATTCAGATATAATAAAAGCACATGTAACCTGTTTATATAAAAAACTTGTAATAGTCTGGCCGGGCGTGGCTCAGCGGTTGAACGTTGACCTAGGATCCGGGCTATCGATTCCCGGTTCGATTCCTGGTCACAGCACATGCCCAGGTTGCGGGCTCGATCCCCAGTTGGGGGCATGCAGGAGGCAGCCGATCAATGACTCTCTCATCATTGATGTCTCTCTCTCTCTCTCCCTCTCCTTTCCTCTCTCTGAAATCAATAAATAAAAAATAAAAACTTGTAATAATGAAAACTTTTTTTTATTGTTTTTCTAATTGGAGGCTTAGTGGTATATCGTTAATAATGTAAGATTATGGAGTTCTCTTTTGCCATATGCCTTTTGAGAAAAACACTTGCAAGACAATTAAAGCAAAGCAAAATACTGCATGGTATTACTTCTATGTGGACTCTAAAAACAATGTCAAACTGAGAAATAGGGTAGAAAAGTGATTGCCAGGGACTGGGAGGTGGGGAAATAGGGAAAGGCTGGTAAAAGGGTACAAACTTTCAGCTAAAAGATATATAAAGTCTGAGGGTCTGATGTAAAACACGGTGACTATAGTTGATATAAAACATGTATGATATCATTGAAATTTGCCAAGAGAGCAGAACTTAAGTAATCTCTCCAAGAAAAAAGATTAGATAAATATGTGAAGTGATGGATGTGTTAATTACCTAGTTGCTGGGAATCCTTCCCCAATATATACATATATCAAATTACCATGATGTATACTTTAAATATCTTACAATTTTATTTCTCAATTATACCTCAATAAAGTGGAAAAAACAAAATGTAGTACAAAATGCAAAAACTATAACATTTAATGCCTCTATTTTATGAATAATTCCATTTGATTGCCTTAAAGGAACCTAGCTTTGTCCTCACTTAACATCTTTATTCTTGGGTAGTTGATTAAATGTGTTTTTTTGTAACAATTTGCCTTGCATATAGTGGATATCCAGTAAATGTTTGGAAGGAATGATTAACCAAATAGCTCATATAACATACAAACTTTGCCTATTTTCTCTATATAAAAACAACTTAATTCTAAGAACAGTGACATTTCATTAGTAGAAATATAACGGAAAGAGAAAAGACAGAAATAAAACTCAGATTTTCATTAGAGGCAATCATTTGGGTGAAACGAATTTTGATTTATGCTTGATCTTCATAGGGGTGTCTTTGAAATGAGAATACCAAAAAACACCGTAAAAGAGCCATGCGAGTTCAGATAAAAATCCACATTCTTAATGGTCATCAGTGTGGAGTTCGTGTTCTCCCCTGGTTTTCCCCTGGCCCCCCTGCCTGGCTTTACTGTATTGCTGACCATATTTTAATGTAACTGTGTAGTTGTCTGCTTTCCCTGCCAGGTCGTCCAGATAAGAGCTGTAACTTTTATTTATCTGATTGACCCTCAGATGTAGAGGATTATATTAAATTTACTCTTTCCTTCATGGCACATGAGTCTGGACCAGGCCCAACTCTTGTTTTTATGTGCTTGTTTCATTGTGTGTTTATTTCCTTTTATACCCATCCCCTGCTTTCATTCCCCTTTCTCCTTAGGTCACCACTGCGATGTGCTTAATGTGTATCTCTTTGTTTTATGCTTTTGCAAAATACATGGTGTATATATGTGTCCGTGTATTTTTAAGTTGTGTAAATTGATGTTATATGTTAGTCTGTTTCTTACTTTCATTTTTGAGTACATGTATTTAAGGAGCCTCCAGTGTTGCCCTGTGTGTACATCTGATTTGTGTCTGGTTGCTGCCAGTACTCTGTGGTGTGTGATCATCACACGTCCCCTGTCCACCTTAGAGGCCTTCTGTATCTTTATCCCCAATGCTTACGACAATAGATTTTTCCTAACTGCTCGGTAAATGAATGAATGAGTGGACGAGTGAATGTGTGAGTGCAGGAGTGAGTTTGATGGTGCTTAGTAGGGGGGAAAAATCCAGGTAGAAGGCGCAGCAAGAGCGAGACCTGGGCAGTCAGTGTTTGGGGGACTCTGTAGTTGGCATCTGTGGGATTTGTGTTCGTGTAGGGAGTGGTGGGAAGGCCAAGGAAGAAGGTTGCCTGCATTGTGGGGGTTTCAGTGAAGGACAGATACGTAGAGATATCAGGGCACATAAGGAAAATAATCTATAAATCTGTTTGCCAGGTGTAGTTGTAATGTCAGAGAACGCAGGGCATACGGCGCTTGAATCCATGGTCATTCAAGACAGTAGTCTACCATGCTTTGAGGCGTGCTTTAAATATTTCTAGTTTCCCCCTCATAACTGATGATGGATTTATCAAAACATTTGTTTTTAATCCTTGTGCCCTCTTTTCCCCTGCAGCTTTTAAACAAATTGTCTCCTCACTCAGTAGGTAGCCAAATGATCTTTAGAGCTAAGTAGTTTATCTATTGATAAAGGTTTCCTTGATTTTCTCTAATGGATTAGAGAAACTTTAGAGAATTAAACATAATATGTGTGAAGAAATAAACTAGGAGAATGACTACTGAAGAACACGTTCCCTCTTTTTCAGATTAATGTGTGGAAAACTAAGCTGAACGATGACCTGCCCTCTCCCCTCCACCAAATCGAAGCTTGGCTCCAGGAGGTCGAGGGGCTTACAGATGCCGACTTGCCCGCCTCCCAGGATTACTATGAAGCCATTGCGCTAATAGAAGAGAAAATGGCTTTATTCAAGGTCGGAAAAGAAAAAGGAGCATTGACAAATCTATGCTTTGTTAGGACCACTCTTGAGAGAGACTTTGTTCTGGCAAGAAGGGAAGGAAATGCAGTGGGTGTTTGAGGATGGTTTAGAATTATTCCCTTGGGGAGATGTGGCACCTGGAAGATCCCTTCACTTTCTTCATGAACATTGTGCTAGTTTAACGTGGAAACATTAACAATAGAGAGTAGTCAGTGAGTTCTAAAGCTACAGAAAGTCTGACAAAAAAGGAGGGGGGAGTCTGGTTTAAATGTGGGAGATGGGGTGCTTACTATGATGGCGTGAAGAATTTGGTGGATGAGATTTATAGCACTGGAGCTCACGAAGGAATGGAAAATAACATCTGAAAACGAGATTTTAATACTGGTTTTGCCAAAGAAACTGCAATCTGCCTCTCTGTAAAACTGACCTAGTGTAACACATTTATGATGAAAATATTTATTCATAAAATCTTAGTTAAAAAAAACCCCACCACTTTTATGATTTTTTAAAAAAAGATGCAGTGCATGCATAGAACAAATAAGATGAACAAACCCTCAGTTACAGTGCTTGGCAATAAACCTGGTTCATGTCAGCCTAAATTTCTTTTCAGACTCTGATGGATAAATGTGACTGTCACTCGAACACCCTCCTGACATTTGAAAATAGAGATGAAAAACAGTCGCCATTGGTACCAGCTTACAAATTGGAGGAAATGAAAAGACGGTTTGTAACACTTCACAGCTACTGATACCATCCATGTTTGAGCACTCAGTGGTGTAATAGGGACCAGAAAATAAGATTTTTAGATAACTTCTCACAAGTATTCTTTAAATCTTGATAACAGCACCTTCCTGTTTCATGTAATAGTAACATAAGATCACGCTAACGCACTTTCTCTTTTTATTGGATGGTAGGATGTGGTGGTAGAACAAGTTGTGGACTTTCAGTATCTTGGTTTGGGCCAAGTTACTCTGTCCTTCCGAGCGTGTTTCCTTATTTGTAGGATAGTAATGATCAGCGTGTTCAAGTCTCACAAGGATACTGGGTGACATGGGAGGTGGTCCATGAGGGCACTTTATAAACTCCAACACTACAAATATAAAGACTATTTAATAGATTGTTGTCCACATGATCTTCTCTTTTCTCATTATTTATAAGCAAATTATTAGAATGATAATAAGGTATTTGCCTTAATAATAAAAGCTGTTTTTAGTATGTAAATGTTGAAGTTATAGTTGCATTAGATTATCTAGAAGTTTTCAAATTTAGTAAAATATTTTGGAGATTAATGTTTTATTATAGGATTTCTCAGGAGGGTTATAATTTCTAAAGAAAATGTTTTGTTAGATGTTTCACTTTAGAAATAGTTGTTATATATCTAGCCACAATGTTTGTTTTACTTCGTTTAAAGAAGATTTGAGGATACATCTGAGCACCATGTGTTTAAAAGAAAAAGTTAGAGCCCCAATGTTTTTTAAAATGCCACATATCTCATGTTTGGCCCATAATAGTAAGTTAAATTCTAAAACCTGCACTATTTTCCAGAGTCAACACTATTTCGGGGAAAAAATTCATTCCGCTTCTAGAGTTTCATTACTATAAGTGCTCAGTCCTTGGTTTGCTAGACGAAGCAAAATCAAAATTGAAGGTTTGGAACATCAAATATGGGAGCAAAGAATCTGTGGAATTGCTGCTGGAAGACTGGCATGTAAGCTCTTTATTTCATGTCTTAGAAAACTATTCTCCATGTCTGGGTGCTGGGTTTGCATTTTTCTTGGGCACAATTTCCCTTTACCTTTTCAGGTTTTCAGATGGGATTTTTTAATTTTTAGTTTTTGGTAGCTTCCATTAGCTTAAATGTTGCCTGGAGAAAAGAATTACAGATAGTTAAATAACAGACATCAGGAAAGAGTAAGAGAAAAACAGTGTTATTTACTAGAAAGGGGAGATTGAGTTAACCAGGCAATTAATATAGAGGAAGTTTTAATGTTATTTCCATTAAAAATTTCTATTTTTACTTACTGGACATCTTACTTAATATTTTTCCCCCACCCAAATCAATGGTTTTATCCAAAATTTAAATTTTTTCTTAGAACATTTTAACCTTAGCTTTTCAGTTTTAAGGGTGGGAAAAACAGTACATTTTGCGTTGAGCATTTTTTAGGGAGAGCGCCTAGTTCTTGAAATTTATAGGCAAAAATGTTGCAAATGATTTATATATAAGTGTGGTCATTAGTAAATTAAAACTAAAGCATCCTAGGAATGTCATTTCTACAGTTAGGCCTTGTCATTGTACTTTCTTTTTGGAATGAGGGACAAAAAGAAATATCTAAGATTGTAAGTTTAATTGCAAAAACTGAAAAACATGAGAGATTTATTTACAGATATGCTTTAAACACTGTACATTCTCAAATAGTAAGCATCATTCTAAATTAGACTAGACTTTGAATATTTTTCTTTCTTTTCTTTCTTTGATCTTTCATTTTTCCATTTAAGTAATCATACAGTCAATACATAATAAGGGTACAATAAATATCAGTTGTTAATTAACTCTGTATTTTACATAGCATAATTTGCTTGTTAGGACATGTAAGCATTTAGTTACAGGTAATTGTAATTTCTCAAGTGTTTTTGCAAGATGGATACTATCTATTTATAACATATTCTAATATTTCTAATAAAAATTATTCACTATTAATAAAAATACATGAAATAAAAGAAGCTGATACAAAAATTATGCAATATTAGTAAATATGTCAGGTGGAAGATTTTTGAAATTGCTATAAATGTTTAACATGCTTTTTCCCACCAGAGGAAAACCATTAGGAACCTTCTTACCACTTTAAGATACACTTTTTAGGTTTCATACCTATATAATGTTCACTCATAGTTACGTCTCCTAGACCTTACTCTCTTCATGAACCGCTCTTCTTTTCCTACCCAAATATGTAGTTTAAAGCCTTAAACAAATGTTGGTGCCTGAGTTTTTCATCTGTGTTTATATGTTTATATCTGGATTTCTTGGCACATTTAAAAAAGTATAAACTGTCAATATTTTTTTCTCCTTTCCTCCCTCCAGAAATTTATTGAAGAAAAAGACTTCTTAGCTCAACTTGAAACTTCTTTTCAAAAATGTGAAGAAATCTATAAGAATTTGGGTAAAGCTATACAGTTACTTTTTGATGGAATGGTCACTTAAGAATAGCATTTTATATCTTTCGCTTTCTTTATACCTTAATGTTTTATTTGAATTTTTTATTAATTGATTTTTAGAGAGAGAGGAAAGGGGGGAGAAAGCGAGAGAGAAACATCGATGTGAGAAAGAAACATTGATCGGTTGCCTCCTGTACACATCCCCGATGACTGGGGATGGAACCTCTAACCAGGTATGTGCCCTGACCGGGAATCGAACCCGCAACCTTTTGGTGCACGGGGTGACGCTCCAGCCAGCTGAGCCACCCAGCCAAGGCTACCTTAATGTTTTACACGCGCATTTTCTTTGGAAAATGCTTGCATTTAGTTTAAATATTGTCAGAGTATATATTTATTTTTCAACTATTCACATGCAAATATTTTCCTTAATAGTACTTTATTAATAAAAACCTGTTTTCTAAAATTCCTTCTTGTTTTGTTCACATCACAGGTGGACAGTATCAGAATGTTAGTGAACAGCATATGACGATGGAACGGAACATTTCTGTGTGTCGGGAAAGCATAGCCGACGTGCAGTGCACCCTGCAGAAGGTTCTGGGCTGCTGGACGGCGTATACGGAAAAGCTGCGCTTCCTCAAGGCGTGTTTCGAGGAGACAAAGAAGGAACAAATTACAGAGGTATTTGCAGCCTAGTGGCACCGGCTCAGTTGCACTTTTTGTTTTGTTTGGAGACCCTCATTTTCAGGGAAGAGTAAGCACAACTGTTGGAAAATTCTCCAAGATTTGGAAGGAGTTTAGTTTCTTCCTAATAAAACTGCCAAAGGAAATTTTCACCGCGTTACAGGTTTTACACACACACAGAGTTTTATTGAGGTATAACTTACATACACAGTATACCTTTTGGAAGATATAGCACTACATTTTTTTGAAAGAAAATAAAAGACTTGGAGTACTGGATAGCAAATAGACATATTTAAAATAGATTGATGTTTTATAAAGTTTAATTTTTCAATTCAATACTTTGTTTTCCTTTCTATTGAATTTATTGGGTGACACTGGTTAACAAAACTATACAGGTTTCAGGTGCACAGTCCTACAGCACATCATCTGTACACTGTGTTGTGTGTTCACCACCCCAAGTCAAGTCTCCTTCCATCACCACTGACCCCTCTCTACCCGCCCCCACCTCCCCCAATTTCCTCCCCCCTCAATCACCACACTGTAGTTCGTGCCCATGAGTTTTTTCTTTTTTTGCTTAATTCCTTTACCCCTTCCATTCAGTACTTTTGAGCTCTAAAACCTTTCTGAGTTTCTAGAGGAGGCAAACAAAATACCTTCAACTTCTCTGGAGAGGCGTGGAAGAAATCTTAGTGTAATTCACTGTTGTTTTCATTTGCTATTCATGTCATCATCTGTTTTATGATTGGTCTGAAATAGTTCTTTCTTTCTTTCACTTGTTTCTCTCTGTTGCAAATGGATATAGAAGCCTCTCAGACTAAACATTTTTCAGGTAGAAACTAAAGTTACTCAACAGAAAAGAAGGCTGTTTATATGAAAGTAAAATATGTGTGTGAGTACAAAAGAGTGTTTGAGGGGCTAGTGAGACATTACTTCTCCCTGTCACTTATGTTGATATTAGAAAAGCACATCTTTGGCTTTCAACAGTTCTTCTGTTTTCATTTTATTTTATTTTATTATTTTATTTTAATCTTTATTGATTTCAGAGAGAGGAAAGGAGAGGGAGAGAGAGAGATAGAAACATCAATGATGAGAGAGTCATTGATCGAACCCACAACCCGGGCATGTGCCCTGACTGGGATCGAACCCCGATCGCCTGGCTCCTAGGTCAACGCTCAACCGCTGAGCCACGCCCGGCCGGGCAGTTCTTCTGTTTTTAAAGTTCTTTCATTAAAATTCCCATAACTCTGGAAAAAAAAAATAACACTTTAAGACTTGTAGTTCCCAAACTGTGTCCTAAGGTGCTCTGAGCTGCCAGAGAGAACTCTTTAAAAAAAAAATTTTTTTTAATGTAAAGGGAATTTAAATTTTGAGGGAGATACAACAAGACTTGTCGGTTGACACTATGCAAATTAGCACTAAGTTTTTTGGACCTGACTACTTCAAAATGAGAGCTTTTAGATGATTTTTCTGACCTGGAGAGTTCATGAAAAAAATTACCGAGATATCAAAGGTGCCGCGAACTGAAAAAGTTTGAGAACCTCTGCTCTAAGCTCCGCAGGCACTTAGAAGGGTGGCCGGTTAGATGCTTCCTAACAGCCCAGGCCCAGGCCGCGACAGACAGCTGCTGCCCGCCAGTTAGTGCTGGGGTGAAGGGCTGGACTGGTAGGGATGGGAGAGTCCTCTAAAGGGCCGTCAGAGTCTCTGCAAAACCTCACTTTTGCTTAGTCAACCTTGGTAAAGATCTGTTTATCGATCATAGAAAGACAAGTATTTTGTCATTAAAATAACATGTTGCTTATATGTTATGTAGGTTCCCTCTGAGACACTATCCCAGTGGAATCTTGAACATACTATGTTAAATGAAGTGGGAAATTTCTTAATTCAAGTCAGCAATGCTGAATTTAGAGCATCTATTTCTAAAGAATTGAGAAGGCTGAATAAAAGATGGAGAAAGTTTGTTACAAAAACTCAGCTCGTAAGTTTGTGCAGTTTTTTGTTTTTTTTTTTTGGTAACAGCTTCGTTGAGCTATAAAGTCGCATACCATACAATTTGTTCATTTAAAGTGTATAACAATGGGTTTTAGTATCCCCAGAGCTGTGCGGCCGCCACCATGATCAAGTCTAGAACATTTTCATCACCTCTTAAGGAAACTCTGTACCCATTAGCAATCGCTGCCCACTTTCTCCCACCCTCCCCAGCCCTAGGCAACCCAGTCCACTTAATGTCTCTATATGTTGGCCTGTTTTGGATATTTCACGTAATTGGGATTATATGGTATGTGGTCTTTTGTTTCTGGCTTTTTTCACTTAGTGTAATGTTTTCAAGGTTTGTCCACATTGTAGCATATATTAGTTCTTCATTCCTCTTTATTGGCAAATAATAATAGCCGATTGTATGGCTATAGCACGTTTTGTTTATTCATTGATCAGTTGATGTACATTTGGCTTCTTTCCACCTTTTCGACTATTCTGACTAATGTTGCTGTGGACGTTCATGCACAAGTTTTTGTGTGGACATTTAACATACAGCTTTCTACCTGAATTTCTTTTACCACTAAAAAATAATGTTAAGTGTTTTGCTTATTGGATTTCAGGCTCCTGAGAACATACACTGAGCTTTATTTATCTTTATATTTGGTATAACGCTTCTAAAAGAAGACCTTACATAATGTTAAAATTTAAATTATGAAATTATTTTTTTCTTATTAACAATTCGAGACTGAGGTGTTTTATGGGGAATGCTCATTTTAAAATATATTGAATATATTATGTCCATTTATTGTTGGTAATATATCTTAGCATAAAAATATAAGCATTATGTTTTATGACATTAATTTTTTATAGGACATGAAACTGCCACTTATAAAAAAGCAGGATCAGTCCATTCTTGACAATCCTAAAAATATTCCACCATCTAAAGAGAAAAAACCAGCTGTTGAGTCTTCAACAGATAGGCTATTAGAAGGTGCTGAAGATCCCAGCCAGAGTGTAAAGGTAAAGTAGTCATACTTTATTCCATTTGTGTATAGAAATAATTTAACTTTGCTGTTTTTCTTTAAAAAAAAAATCCATATTGTTGAAACAGTGGTAAATATGATTATTAGGTAATATTTAAAGTATAATCATTTTCCAGTAAAATGCATAAAGACTACCTTCATGAGGTAGTCTTTAGGGTTAAAGTCACTCAAGAGGAGGAGTTTCCCCGACACAACTTCTCAGTGTGGAAAGGGAGCTGCTGTTTTCCTCCCATTGCTTCTGACTGGTGCTCAGACATTGTCTAGCTTTAGGCTAGCCCCTGGCCTGTGTCTTGCTTCCTTTCTGTAAAGTGGGGGGAAATGTAGACTTTATTTGTAGTTTTGTTGGATAATTTAGAGGATGATTTTTTATTTTGGATAAGAATATGGAAAAGGAACCCAAAACAATAAAAATCATACGCAGGTGTCATACCTGTGGTTTTGGAAATGTGCCTTCTTCAGAATAATAACTTGCATGGTTTTATGTAAGAATGTCACGTTTAACTGGCTTTGGCCAGTGGCCGTGATTCGCTGTGTTTAAGACCTAATCAGACAGACTCTTGAAAGATCTGAATTTGTGCAAGATGCTTTTAGAATAAAAGAATAGAGAATAGTACATTCTTCTAATACATTGAAAATATGATCTGGTAAAAAACAGCTAAGAATGTATATATCATGTACAGCTTTAGTATATTACCCCATAGGATATTGAGAGATTATTCATGGGAAAAGGCTTAATTTCACTGAAATTTGATTCTGTCTCTTCTTGAGGATGTTTGCAACTACTATTGCTAGTAGCTGTAGTTAAGTAAGTTGTATGTGAGGTTTTGAAATGTGTTTATAGAAACAATACCTTAATTTTCTAAGATTTTATCTCCTTATGTGTAAAATGGTGATAATAGTAATTAGCTCGTAGGCATGATATTATCATGAAGAAAACATATGTGGTCCTGGCCAGGTAGCTCAGTTGGTTAGAGCATTGTCCTGAGATGCTAAGGTTGCGGGTTCAACACCCAGTCAGGACACATACAATAATCAACCAATGAGTGCATCAGTAAGTGGAACAACAAATTGACGTTTCTCTCCCTCCCTCTCTCTCATCAAGAAATAAAAATTTTAAAGAATATATATGTGTATAAATCTGTTAACATTTAAAGTGATATGTACTATCATAAAGTGCTATTATCATTTCAAAAACTAATTCTTAAGTAATTAAAATATGTTGACTTATCACTCTTGGGGGGGGGAAAGATCACTTTTTAAAATGGAAAATTATTGTATCATGTAAACATTGTCATTTTCTTAGCGATAATTTTGAATGTTGTAGGCTGGGGAAGAACATGAAAAAGAAAATGAAGAATTCCCAGGGCAACTAAAAGTGGCCGAAGAAACTGAAAAGCTTATCGGAGAAGTGGAAACCTGGGACACAGAAACCAAGTCTCTTTTGGATGTTCTGAGACATCAAGATGATGTAGATACTTCAGTGGAAGAATCTTTGCAGGTATGAGCATAAAAGTCTTAAAAGGACAACTTCCATGGCTGTAGACTGATGTATTAAGATAAAAGTTTCAGGGTAAAGAATAATATGACAGCTGTTTGAATTTTCTTAGTTGGGGTTTTTTAAAATAGCATGGATCCTCATTCCTAAATCATTTGCTGTGATTTTGCTTGAGGACAGAGGATAGACTTGAAGACCATTAATAGTACCTTATGTGAGCCTAAGTTCTGGAATTATTTTCCCAGCTACATAATGGAGGTTAAATATTTTCTTGTCTGAGAGGCGATGAAGAGATAAGTGAGGGCGGCCTCACATAGCTCAGCGAGTGTGAATATGGGGGATTATACAGCCTCGGCTTTGAAGGCTCGTTCACTGATTAAGCCACTTTCCCTTCTTTGCTTGACCCGGGGAGGGTGACGGGTGTTGTTACAACTCGGTTCTGTCTTCATTCTCAGGCAGTCGACTCATTGAAAAGCAATGAGGCAAGATTGCATTTTAATATCACTCAGTTCTCCTGGGAATGAAGTTACAATTGTGGTTTTTACTGAGTTCCAAGCTCAGCTATAAAAATCTATGGAGCATGTCATAAATTGCAACAAGATGGAAAGTTCTTGGAATAAAGGAACATTTATGTAATTCTTTTAAATCTGCATTTCTGAAGTGGTGTATATATAGCATTTTGTGTTTTCATTGTTTATAAGAGTGATACTTTTTATTGCTTTGAAAATATTATATAAACTTACCTGTGCTATCTGCCAGTGCTTTTCTAATTTTATTCATTCATTCATTCATTCATTCATTCATTCATTCATTCATTCATTCATTTGCTGTATCTGGAATTTACTTTAGTAAAAGAAATGAGTGAGAAATGAGAAAGTCAATATTTAAAAAATATTTCAAAAAAATAACAGGGAACATACACACATGCTAGAATATATTTCTGTTAAGAAGGAATTAAGTAGATCTTTATTGGATCAAATATATTGTAAAGTAAGAAATACAGGTTGCTGAACAGTATAGGTGTTGACGTCTTTTTAGTGCTCTGTAAAATAGTTGCTTTTTAGTACTTTATGCTTTGATATCCATAGAAAAATATCCGTAAGTGTATACAAATAACTAGTTTTGTCTGTTTTGATCCTGCATGATGCCCAGCTCTTAGCACATTTCCTGGTACACAGTAGACACAAAGTATTTTTTAAATGAATGTGTGAATGTTTGGTTAAATGACAACTAAGGGAGCGATGGGGAAGAAGAGGAACTTTTTCTTTACATGCTGTATTTTCTATTCTTGTTCAAGTTTTTTACCTGAGCTTTATAATTAAAAAGGGGAAAAATTGAAATTATAAATCAATATACTAATTTTAGACATTAAAATACTGCATTAAAGTGTAAAGAAGAAAATAAAAATCACTATAATTCCGCTGCTCTAAGATAAATGAGATCAACGTTTACATAGTTGATACCACAAAGTGTAATTTCTGTTTTATTATACCAATGTCACCTTTGAGTAGTAAGTAAAATTTTTTTTGCTAATTAATAAGTGGAAAGCAATATCTCATTATTTTAATTTGTATTTACTGTATTTGTTACATGTAAGATTTGACTATTAAATATTCATTAGCTTTTTTTCCTGTGATTTGTATTTTCTGAGTTTTTTTGGATTTTAGTTATTTTTCTTATTGAATTTATAAGGTCTTTGAATCATGACCCATTTTCATTTGTGTAGCAAATATTTTTACCAAGTTGGTGACTTTTAAGTTGTTTATTTTACATAGAAAATTTTTACATTTATATAGTCGTTTTTATCCCTGTTCTTATGTATACAAAGGCTCTCCACACACACAGAGAGCAGATCAACTTTCATAGATAATTTCTTCTTTTTGTAGTTTTGTATTTTATATAACTTTCTGATATACCTGAAATTTATTCTTGACATGTTGTATAAAGCATGGTTCTAAAAAGATTATTTTCCAATAGTCATTTTCTCCAGTAACATTTATCATATGCCCTTGCAACTGATTTGCCTTAGAACAATTTAATATTAAGCTTTATTACTACTCTCTCAACTTGTTTTCTTTCTGTTCCATTGTATTACTTCTAGTCTTTATTTTATTGCAGTGTTTAGTATATAAATACTAACCTATAAAAGACTGTGTTGCCCAGAATCTGTATAAATATAAAATTTCAAAATGAAATTTTTAAATAGCATTCTTTAGAATATAAATTTGCCTCATTTTGCATTAATAATTAACCTTTTATGACTTCTGATGAGATTTAAGGTTAATGTTTAACATATAATCAGAATGTTTATTGTGATCTCATTTTAATTGTTTTAATAGCATCTTATTGCCAAGGGCTCTATGTATGAAGAGCTCACATCTAGAATGGAAGACACTTTACAAATGGATGTACAAAACATTTCAAGCCAGGAGTCCCTTGAGCATGTTCTCACAGCTGGGCTTCAGGCAAAGATTCAAGAAGCTAAAGAGAAAGTCCAGGTCTCTCTTTAATATTCTCTATTCAGTGAATTAGTCTTTAAAACCAAGTAGTCAGTGGGAGGATGGGGAAGTTGGAGGGGTTGCCCTATAGTTTGGAAATGTTTTGTAAAATACAACTTTTGCATTATATTTTATTTTTTTATATTTAGAGCATACTGGAAAATATCAATATAATAAATAAAATATTCCTATGTCCAGTGGGAAAATAGGAGTGGCAACACAAAGAAAATATTTATTAACTTTTATGAATTTTCTGAGAAGCTGGGCCAAGTGTTAAGTTGAGAATTTTTTGTCTTCACAGATCAACATGGTAAATTTAGGTGCAGTGCTGAAGAACTCAGCTGATGTCTCACCAGATCTGAATGTCAGGATGAAGGTGGAGGAATCACTGAAGGAACTTGAATCATACATTACAAGAGCTGAGCAGTTACTTGGCCAAAGAGAGAGCCGGAGTGGACTAATTTCAAAGTATAAGGTGGGACCCTTTCACCTATCAAATGTAGGGTATTTATTATTAGCCAACTACCTAATTTTTATCACTGTGATTATACACAAAGTTATTGTACCTTTAAAATTTTTTCCAATTTTATACATTGTTTCCCAGAGACTCTTCAAAATAAACATTAAAATGAAGAATTTTAAAAATTCAATATACTATTGTAGACCTGCCGAATAGACTCAGTGATATAGTGTAAAGAACACAGCTGACTCTGTGACATTGAGCAAGAATTTAATTTTTCTGGCTTTTTTAATCAATAAAATGGTCACAATAATTCTAGCCCTATCTAGCTGCCGAATTTGTTGTCGAGGCTTTCAATGAAAATAAGGCTTATGAAGGCATATGAGTAGTTAAAATTCTTCAGCTGTAAAATAACATTTTAATTAAAATGATACAAGTTATTTATGGACATATTCTTATCGATAAAGACCCAATATGTTTTGGGTCAGTTTGGAGACAATTTTAGGTTGACTTTTCATGGTTTGATAGAGTTAAGATATATCCAAATGAGACTCACTATTAATGAACACAGCAGGAGGTACTTGGGGGGTGGGCATGGGAAGTGAAATGAAACAGGGTCTCTATACTTGGACCATTGGAGCGGTAGAGTATTACATGTTCTTCCCTTCATTCATTTATTCAACACTTCACCCACTTCTTGAACATTTAAAATGAACAAGGCATGTTGTGGGAGGTAGAGATGAAGCCAAGTGATACTTCCCCCAGTGCCAGTGCTCCCAGGCTTTAGGAAAAGACCTGTTACATAGACTCAGTGATATAGGAGCCACCCTCTGCCCACTGTGGCCCCTCTTTTTTCCCAGGCCTCAACTCTATTTGTTTTTCTGGATTGCTCACCATACTGGACCCTAGCAGTCTTTTCACCATTCCTTTTCCACGGCCATCTTACGCTGTTTGCACTTGGCCAGCCACCAGCTCTGACCAGTTCCCTGTCCTTTGCCCCTGCTTTACTCCCAGGTTGCTGACAGTGCTGAACTGACCTTAAGAGTCACTGGTTCTTTTAAATAATCACCAGGCTGGATTTCAGGAGGACAGATATGGTCAGCTCAGGAAAGAGAGAAGGAAGATGGAAAGTGGGTGCTCTGGGCCCCTTCTCTCCAGAGAGAAGAGAGGGGTGTCAGTTCTCACACCATGTTCTTTCTCCCTGCCCACTTTTCTTTTGGAATCTGGGGCCATGGGTTTTCCCTTTTTCCTCTGGCATTTAGTGAAGTGGATCTGTTTTCACAAACAACACAAGGTTCTTCCCTGAGACCCCTGGGACTCCAGGCACGCGGGTAGTGGGACCCTCCCATCAGCACATATGGTGCGAATATCGCCCTTGGTCCTTCATGTAGCAGCCCTCACAGAGGCCTTGGAGAAGCGCCCCGGGGCCCCTGGGTCCTTCATGTAGCAGCCCTCACAGAGGCCTTGGAGAAGCGCCCTGGGGCTCAGCATTGTACCTTTTCTGCAGGAGGCCCATAATAAATGTGTAATGAGTGTAAGGATGAATTCCCACCCTGTTTTATTGCTTTCTCCTTAAGTATTACTTTCATCTTCTTGTCTCCTTAGAGTTTTCTGCCTTTCACAAACCCCAGACTAGTGTTCCTTCTGTCATTCACTTGTTACCTAAGCCAGGATTCTGCTCTTATAGGGTATTGCCAGGTACTACTCAATAAGAGCCGGTAAGTGTGGGGTAAGGAGCAGACACGTTCCTGGCAAGGTATTTCCCTTCCCTGGCTATTGCTGTCCTTCCCTGGGATGGGACTGCCAGTGTGGTTGGCCCTGGCAAAACTAGAAGTCCATGGTAAGGTAATGTTTCTTTCTTGCAGCATAAAATGCTTATGTACAATGTTAAATATTTGCCATACTAACCCTACTATAAATTATATCTAATATATGCTGGTATTCTCTTCATATTATATCACTTACGAAGTGTGGTTGTCTGATCCACAATTAAAGGAACTTTCGAGGAAACCTTGCCAGGGGCTCATTATTTATCAGAGGGGTAATGCAAATTATTTTGAATATCATAGATATGAAGTTTTTATCTGGGTTTCAAATGTGTAGGTACATTTAAATAAGAAATACTTGCAATTTTTTTCAAAAGATGCAAATGGGCTCTCAACCTCAATTTACAAAGAAAAGTCTCCCTTAAATCTTTAAATAGTCTTCATAGAGTCCTTTGCCTAGCTCTACCTGTGAACCATCTACCAAAATTAGCTTTGAGGAGTTGGCAGTAGAGACTTTCATGTTCTTGTTTGCATCTTTTTTTAATTTATAGGAAGCACTATTAATTTTTAATACTAAAAGTCTGGCCAAGTATATGAAAGCCATTGAAGAACTGAAAAATAATGTATCTGAGGATGTAAAGCTGTCTTTGGAAGAAAAGAGCAGAGATGTCTGCACCAAGTGGGAGGTAAGAACATGCACGTGTATCCGGCACTTACACGAATACACCTTACCATGGATTTGTTTGTCATCAGAGTCATTCTTGGTTATCCCCTTGTTTACTTTGAATCACAGAGGGCTGATCCCTGTAGGCTGCGGTTCTCAGGCCCTGTAGCAGCTGGCCTCTCTGTGTTCAGCCAGTGACAATACTGGAGATTAGAAAGGAGGTTGGAGGAGGGGAAACAGGAGAGTTCGAAGGCTTTCTTGTCCTCTTTCTTGGCCACTGTCTCTGGCAGCTGAGTCTCCCCCTGGCTGCAGGTTCCATGTCTCCAGCCTCTGGTTGGTGACCCTCCTGCCTGGACTCCACTGAAGCTTCCAGCCCAGCGGTGGTAGGAGCTTTCTGCTGATGCTAATCTCTGGATTGCTTCCCATCCCCTCTTTGACTTTCATGTCTTGTGTAATCAATCCCCAGCATGTAATTCCCTCTGAGTTAAATATTTAGTGTTTTCTGGTTTCCTGGTTGGATCCTGACTGAGACAACATATTGACACATACACCCAGAGTTTCAGTGAAATAGGTGTAGGCTTTGGTGGCAGACAGACTTGGATCCAGCAGCTATGACCCTGGGGAAGCTGCTTAACTTCTAGGACCTTCACCGATAAAATGGGAATAACCCACCAATTTGGCATGATTGTTGCTAGGATTTATGTAGCTACCACAGAGATTGTGTTCAATAAGTGGTATTTAGTATTGATATGGTTTTTTTTTTGGAGCAGTATATGTGCATGTATGTATGAATATATGGAGAGAGGGAGAGAATAAAGTAATATAATTGAATATCTTTTGTTAAAGGTTCTCTTAAAACACATTTTAAAATAAACCTTATTTTAAAGCAATTTTATATTTACAGAATTATTACAAAGATAGTACAAAGAATTCCAGGATACCCCATGCCCAGTTTTCCCAATTATTCACATCTTGCATTGACATCGTACCTTTGTCACAATTAATGAACTAATATGGATACCTTATTAACTAAGTTCAACTTTATTCATATTTCCACAGTTTTTCCCTAATGTGCTTTTTAGTCTGTTCAGAATCCCATTCAAAATATGCATTATAACATCTTGCTATTTCAGCATGGGCTCCAATATGTCCTATAGTTTCTTCCAGTCTGCAGCTGATTTTTTTCGTTCTCTTAACAGTGTCTTTCCCGACTCAAACGCATTTTTAGTTGTTAGAAAGGGAAAAAAATATGTTTATGGGTCTGTTATATTTTAAAACATCCTCCACAGCGACACAAGAATTTTTTAAGTTCTGTTACAGCAAGTATTTTTATTGTGTTTTTAATGAAAACCTTTTCAGTATAGTTTGTTCCCATGGTTAATGTGTGGCTTCGTTTGCAGTCTCTTCGTTATGAACTGTCTTTGTATATTCAACAACTAAAAATAGACATTGAAAAGGAAAAAATTAGTGACAGTATTTCAAGACTTGAAAAACAAATAAGTAAAGAAAAGAAACTAATTCGCAGAGGAAGGACCAAGGGTCTCATCAAGGAACATGAGGTAAACCACCTGTTTTCCATTTACATTTTGTCGTCATCTTGAGGTTTTTCTTAAAAGGTTGTGCATGTCCTTGGCCTGGGATGAAATCTGCTCTGAAAATGACTTCAGCCGTCTCGTTCCCTGGGGATTATCCCTTATGCAGTTCAAGCTCTAACCAGAGCCTGTGACTCTTGCATTTTAGAAGGGAGAAAAATTTAGCATTGAGTTAATAGCCCATGACTTCCCTGGATACTTTTCAGTGACCCCTGACCCTGAGCGTCTGGTTACAAACTTGCTGAAGTACCCACAGTTGCCTTTTGGTCCCTTTACTATTTGATTGCATCCGTGTTTTTGACAGTACCGATCCCTCTTTTCATTTCTTTTAAACTTTCTCCTGCTGTGGCTCTCTTAATGTCAGTCTCTCTCGCTTTTTCTTTTTCTGGGTGGTGGTGGGGGTCTGGCTTCTTTGGGGTCTGGCTTCTTTGTAGTGTATGTCACAAATTTCTCTTTTTTACTGTGTTATCTCAATGTTTTAGCTTGGAGAGTCTCTGTTTTTGTCTAATTTCATGATTGCTCTAGGTGGTTTCATGCCCTCGGGGGTTTCAGCTGCCCCCTCGACAGAGATGGCGCATGAATCTCTATCTGCCACTGAGTCCTTTCCCCTGAGCTCCAGGGGACATCACCAGTGTCTTCAGGGACCTCTCATCAGCATGTCCAACACGAACCAGTGATATCCCCTCAGACGTGTCTTCCTCATATATATTCTGGTTCTGAAAGGCCTTCTGTCCCAGAATCTCCTCCCTTTCCTTCCACGCGGCCTTAGTGGAGTCAGTTGCCAGGTCCCCTCTGTTACTCTTCAGAGAAGCTTCCATCCTTTCCATCGCTGTTTCCTGGGTGATTTTCTCAGCATAATGAAGGCTGTATCATCTTCCAAACTCATCCCCAGAGTGACCCTTTGAACCACAGATGTTGTGTCACTGGCTCACCGTTCCTCCCAGGACATCTCCAAACTCCTTAGGACATGCCTCCGCCTCTTTTCCTGCTCCGTGCCCTCCACCCTCTAGACTGTCCTAGAACATCTGGAGCTTTTCCTCTCTCGGCTGCTCCTTCTGCTAGGAGCGCCCTCGCTCCCCCTGGACCTGCAGGCTCCTTGTCCTTCCCTCACGGAGCTCAGGCGGCTCCTGCGTGTGAACTAGGCTTTCCCTGACTCCTTAAGGCAGGTAGTGGCCCTGTCCTATCACTTGTCACACTGTATGCTCATTATTTGTGTGACTACTGCAGGAGAGGAAACAATTTTACTTGACCCTCTTAGGGTCCCTGCTGGGTCTGAAAATTAAACTGACAAAGATCCACAAGAGAAAAGTATACATATTTTATTGAATTTTTACATGCACGTGGGGGCCTTCATAAGAGATTGAAGACCCGAAGAAGTGAGCAGAGTAGGAAGCTTTGATACCTTTTATCAGAGAAACAGTACATTAGTGCGGACTTGACAAGACAGGAGGGTTTGGGCTGGGTGGCAAATGGTGGGGAAGTGACTGGGAGGGTAAAGGTTAGTTTAACAAGGTTTGCTCCCACATTCCTCGGGGGCTGCAGTGGGACTGAGAAGGGTTTATCTCCCGTAAAAGGAGACTTTATTTCCCATCTTTAGCCAGAAAATGGGAATCTTTCTGTTTACTGCTTTTTTAAAAAAATTGTTTTTAAAACCAGAGAGAGAGAGAGGAAGGAAGGAAGAAGGAGAGAGAGATTGAGAGACATAGAGATAGAGAAACATCAGCGAGAGAAACATCCATCGGTTGCCTCCCATACGCAACCCGACGGGGATCGAGCCCGAAACCTGGACATGTGCCCTGAGCAGGAATCGAACCAGCAGCCTTCGGGTGCACGGGGCAACGCCCAGCCAACTTTGCCACTCCAGCCAGGGTTGTTTACTTGCTTTTCTTTTTATGTTTTAAATTTTTGTTCAAAATATTACAGATGTCCCTTTTTCTCCCCAATGACGCATTCCATCCCGTTCCACCCCCCTCCTCAGCCCCTCTCCCCACCATTGTCCATGTCCTTGGGTTGTGCATGTATGCACATAAGTTCTTTGGTTACTCTCTCCCCCTCCATACTTCTTAATTGCCTTCAACTCAAAATAATGTTCATGTCAAAGAGGCGTATTTTGGTGACACTTTCTGGATTCCGCACAGCTGTACTGCGGCAAGCCCCTTCAGGGCCGACTGCCTCCTCTTTGCTCCTCCGTGCCCATCCGCCAGGCACGTGGTGGACAGGCTTACAGAAGCGTGTGCTGTTGAAGTCGCGCACATCTGTTAGTGGCTAATCCTCATGGACTAATTATGTAAGCCCATTTGAAACACATTTCCTGCTTTATTTCCTCAATTAGGCCTGCTTCTCTGAGGAAGGCAGCCTGTACCAGCTTGATCACCACATGGATGTCCTGCGGGAGCTGTGCGAAGAGCTGACTTCACAAAGGAGTCAGCAGGAAGTGAGGAGGCTGCTCCGAGATTACGAACAGAAGATAGAAAGACTTCGGAGGGCCGCCTCCGAGATCCACACGACACTGCAGCCCCCGGTGGGGGGCCCGTCGAAGAACAAGTCAGTGCCTCATAAGAATGGCCCTGTGCCAGGGAAAAGGGAGAGAAAGCTTTTTGCAAAATGAAAGAACATTGAGTATTATTATGTATTCTCTTTCGGGCTTCATGTTCCTCCCTCTGTGTCAGTATACAATTTTGATTCCTTCCTAGGGAGACCGTGAACACGTCTGAGAACGGAGGAAGGAATGCCCACAGTGAGGCGCCGTCTGCACACTCAGATAATCAGCCATCAACTGAAAAGGTGTTACACTCAGATAATGTATTTTCCAAGCAAACTCAATGAAAAAGGCCAAGTGGACAATAATCCACTTCTCATTAATTAAGTGATGGTTTTAATTATCTGATAGTTTTCATCAGCTGAGAAGTCCCACTCAGATCATGCAAGGAAGGTGGTTTTTTAAAGAATTAGAATGAAGCAAAGCTATAGAGAGGATAACTTAATTTTCCTCTGAGGTTACAAACTGTTTTTTAAAAAAGAGATCATTTTGAACCATTGTGAATACATGTTGACTGTGCACGTTACTATTGAGGATGGCTAATTGATTTATAATTTCTTTTTCTTGTTATAATGTCTTTTACTTTCCTTGGGCATTGAATTTCCATTTAGAATCCTAGGTAAATGGCATGTACTGTGCATCACAGCCCAGATGGCTGGTCAGAAGGTGTGGGAAAGGAATGAAGTGTATTTGTCTTCACGGGTCTGCTTCTGCATGCTAGGCTTCTGTCTATTGTTGACCAGCCCTATGTGGTCACAGTCAGCAAGAGCATTTAGGGGTCGGGAGAACTCCTTTACTGTGCTGACAAACCAAGTAGAAGGTGAGACTCGGTGTAATAAGTCTCTGTGCCATGGGAAGGCCTTGCTCTGAGCTGAGAAACCTCAAATAAATTGTGTTAGCTCCTGGTATGGCATATGAAGAATCAATAATATGCCTTTGTATCAAAAAGTGTTTATTTGTTCTAGACAATTAAGTATATTGAAGATATTATGTTTACTATTCTACATATTTGTTTAGGCAGTGGAGTCGATTAAGAATTTGAGCCTGGAATCAGAATTGAAGCCTGAACAGGAAGAAAACATAGAGAAGTATGGGAAGGATCACAATACATCTACAGATAGTTTACTAGAGAGGTAAACTCTTTTCAGCAACTGGAAAGTCTGCCAAAAATCCTACAGGCAAACATGTTATACTTTAATAAGTTCTTATTATCTTTTAGTCATAATTTTTGCATGCTGTCCAGTAACTTCAATGGAAATTCCCTGGGATTTCCTCATGCATAATTGATAGTAACTGAAAAACTTTTTTGTCTTATTTTTAAAATTAAGTAATGTCACATTTCATGTTCCCCAGGTATGATACACACAGAGAAACTCTTGAGCAACACCTGCAAAACAACAAACATAGAATTACTTCTGATTTTTCTAGTGATGGGAAAAGGAGTAGTGCTTGTCTACAGGATAAACTGAAAGATCTACAGGTAATTATTGAAAATATTATTAGAGTTTATCTTTTATTAGAAAATAATGCCACCATGAGTATAGATGTCACCATTTTGTTGAGGTCCCATATACTAGATGTTTCCAAGAACTTTGTTGGATTGCATGTCTAATATCACTCGATTCCAAAAAGTGATTTGCACCCAAGCATCAAACCCAGGAAAGACTTTGGTTCAGGGACCTAATTTATTGCTCATGTTCTAATTTGATAATCTAGATATTGTGACTTGAAAAATTTTGGATTGTGCTTGGGATGGGAATGAAGGACTTCAGATGAATTGGTTAAGACAGTGTGGTCAAAGGCAATTTTAACCAACACTGCTTGCCTCTAGGTTGCTCTAAGATTAACAATACATGAAAAGCCAGTGACTCTAAATATTTTTCAGTTTATCATCTTAGCCAAATTGTCATGTCTGTGTGATGCTGGACAGTAAGGAAGGGGCAGGCAGTGGAGGGAATTTTCACCCTAAGCAACGGGTGATCTTCCTGGAGAGCATCAGAGAAAGTATTGTGTTTATTCAAGAGCTACAGATAAAATAGTCTAGCTAGTGGTAGGCACATCAATTGTTATCTGTACAAATAAATATCTTCCTTATTTGGAAGATTATCTGTGCATTGCAGTGCAGCACTTGTATGCTTGGAAGTGCATTAGAGGGAACCCTCACAGAAAACCCCTTAGGTAGAGAAAGGACCATGAGTGGTTCCTATAACGCCTGCCCATATTTTCTAGTTTCTCTCTTCCTTTTATGATGCCAGTTCCTGAGTAACACTCCACTGGCTCCTCTCTATTTTCCATCTGAATAAGCAAAATTCATATGTTAAAATCCCTGTTGTTCAAATGATGGATTTAGCATGTTTTCAACGCAATTAAGAAACTGTCTTGAGACCTTACTCCAGGGATTGAATAATGAGTTCGTTAGAAAAGCTATACTAACCCTTGGGGAAAGTGAAGAACAAATTACACTGGTGAGTATGCAGGAAAATTCTGAGTAGTGCCTTTTTTTTTTTTTTTTTTTTAAGAATCCATATAAGGCACTGAAATGGTATAGAATATTTAGACGTTTAATTATAAATCATAAATTAATTTTATTCACTTCTCATTTGTCAGAAATAGTTTTGGTTCACTCCAATTTCTTTTAGTTTAGGGAGAAACAAAGACTTTTGATCCAGAGGAAAAAGAATGTCTGTTCTTAAAACTATATGTGTCTTTCTGAATTGTATTCTGTGCACCCAATTTCGGGGAAGGGAGTTTGGATTTGGATGAAAGTCATATTGTCAACTTCCTTGACTTCATTAAAAGGTCCTCGTACAGCACAGTTAATATCATTGTTCCCTGACAGATTCTTTACTTATAGATGGTTGGGGGGAAAAAAAAAANGAAGGGAGAGGGAGAGAGAGAGAGATAGAAACATCAATGATGAGAGAGTCATTGATCAGCTGCCCCCTGCATGCCCCCCACTGGGGATCAAGCCCGCAACCCAGGCATGGGCCCCGACCGGGAATCCAACTGTGATCTGGATCATAGGTCGATGTTCAACCCCTGAGCCACGCCGGCCGGGTTCTTTTGATTTTTAGAGAGAGTGGAAGGGAGGGAGGGAGAGAGAGAGAGAGAGAAACAATGATGTGAAAGAGACACATTGGTTGGCTGCCTCCCGCACATGCCCGGGATCGAACCTGTAACCCAGCTACACAGGGACGTTCCCTTGACCGGGAATCCAACCTGAGACCCTTTGGTGGGCGGGCTGACGCTCTAACCACCGAGTCAAACTGACCAGGGCTTTTAATGTATTTTTATGTGAGACTTTGTGCCCACGGTTGGTGGGTGTCTCATTTTGTAAGACCAGAATAATTGTGCCTGTTAACTCATAAGTTGATGAATAAATGTATGTGTTTCATCTAGGTCTTAAAAAATGAAACCGATGCTCGCTGGAAAGCGTTTGAAGTCACCTCGTTGCAGTTAGAAGAGCTGGAGAGTGACATAAAGAAGCCTGATATAATTAAAGCAAGAGACAGATTAAAGGGAAAAGAAAGAGAGTTTCAGATGACTCTTAATACCAGGTAAATTCTGCTATCGGTTAATAATGACTTGATTAAATTGTTAAATGCCATTTTAAGGAGGCTAGTACTGTGCTAGTATGTTATTTTATTTAGATGTCACAACAGCCCTAAGTGAGGCTGCCATTGTGATCACCATTTTACTGATGAGCAAACTGATAGGGAGGTTAGGTAACTTAACCAAGCCACACCACTGGCTGGAGACTTAAGTAGAATTTAAAGTCTGTTGAGTTCCAGAGGCCATGCTCTTCCCACTCTCTCCCCTTGGGCATGAATTTGGCCATGTTGCATAACTTCTCTGGGCCTTGATTTCCTTATTTCTAAAATGAGAGCGCTGTAATTACCCCTATACATAGGATGTGTATCCCAGTACACATCCCTGTTTTACATTGGAGGAAACTGAGGCTCAGAGTCTATATGTTAATTATCCAGGGTCACACATTTCAGTTTATTAGTAGTAGAGCCTCTTCTTGGAACTCTATTATAATTTCCATTAATACAATAATTAGTATTCATAATGAGGGGTCTTTGTCATCAAGGCAGTGTTAAAATACATTCAGTAATTTGTATTTTACAATTTTCCGTTCAGCATGGTATCTCTTAAGCTAATAAGAACACTTTTATAGGAAACAACTCGTTCGTTGGCATTTTGGATCGCTGGGTTTGGGTTATAATGTGGTGATCTGTACATATCATTGTATATATTTTTATTGGACATTTATTTTTGGTTCTTGGTTAAGTAATGGCATTAACGTGTTTTATAGGGTATCTTTCTGCTGTTTTCCCCTCACATCTGCTTTATTTTACACCTAGAATGGAGTCTCTGGACACCGCGCTGCAGATTGTGTTGCCTGTGGAGAAGGAATCGCTCCTGCTCTGTGGCTCAGACCTGCTCCATCTGCATAACGTGGCCATTCAAGAATTTCACCTCACTGATGCTGATGGCATTTATCAACGCCTGAGGGTAAATATACGTTCTCATAGTATAGTCATACAATAATCAGTTTCTCAGACATTTATACATTCTTCTGCAGTTTTAATTCTGCGTCAATAGTATGTATTTAGAATATAAGTCATGACAGAAAAATCTTCAATACTTTAGACTTGTTATTTATTTAAATCAACTTTTTAATTCCTTTCCAATTTGGAAGTAGGTACTGTGGAGTAAATAATGAAGCATTTTCTTTGAATTTAAAATGAAAGGTTCCTTATGAATGCCTTCTCCAATGACCAAAATTTTAAATATCATGCTAGACTCATATGCTTATATTGGCATATTCCACAATTTACTTATTCCAAATCCCATCATAAATAAAAATATTTAAGTTTTATTTTTCAGATTATAAACAGATGTCTCAACAGTTAAATCTCTAATTATTTTCATTGAAGCAATAGACTTATATACCTGTTTTCTTTGGGGGATTGAAACATCAGGAAGGATATCAGATGATAAAGCTGCTGGGCCATCTGGTCACTTATAATTAAAATGTTGAAACTGTCAGCCGTGGTTAAACTGAAAAGCAGTTTTCTAGATTAAATGGAGTTCTATAATTTGCCGTGCAATCTTTCTTTTTTCTACCTCAGTCCCTTCAGCTTTTGTTACCTTTATTTTAGGATATCCAAGATTCCATAGCAAAACAGATAGACACATGTAACAATTTGGAGCAGCCGGATAACTCTGCATTAAAGGAATTACACCCACTTGACCTACATGCGACACAGAATATTATACTGACGCACAGATCACAACTCGAGGAAACGAACCACAGGATCCAGAGGAGTAAAGATGCCATCAGGGCTCTGGAAGAGTTTTTGACTTCTCTGAGAACAGCTGCACTCCCTGTTGAGCTTGTGACAGACTCTTCTGCCTCAGATACGCAGGTGCCAGAAAATACTTTGAAAGGAAAAAATAAAGAGGGAGGAACTCATCTGATGAAAGAGAAGGCCAGACATCTGGATAAACGTTTGAAGATGCTCGATATAAGCTTTAAAGATGCCAAACAGGGTAAAGACACGTCCTGTGAAAAACTTCTCGATGCTCTGTCCAAACTCTTATTTGAGACACATGGCGCTGGTGCACAGGAGGAACTCATGAAAGAAAAATTACTAGAGACTTGTACTTTCAAAAATAATGAACTCCTGAAAAATATTCTAGATGTGCAAGGTCAGATCAGTAAAGTTGGTCTCAAGGATCCGACTGCTCCAGCTGTCAAACAACGGTAAGGGTTGTCTCCGTCGATTTCCATCCAAGGTGACACTTTTCTTCACTTTCAAGTATCTGTCAGATGAAGCCAATACTCCTTGTCTTTCTGTCTCTCTTCCGTCCCTCTCTATTCAGTGTTCAGGATTCTTTTCAGACAAGCTTCCTTCTTGTTCATACTGTGTCTTTACAAAATGTTATAGAATTCTTTTTCTTTAAAGTTTTCATTCTCAAGGACAAAGGAGTAGTGAACTAAGATGTGGATAAAGTACATGAGTTGCTGTGTATTGACTGTGGTGTTCTCTTGATGAGGGAAGGCCTGGAACTCTACACGTTTGACAATAAAAAAATAAGTGGTAGCAGATGCACATGCCACACCTGGTCCCAACTTCTTCCTTCATTGTGTGGGTTCATCCTCCCTTCCATCGGGATTAGCTTGGGGACTGGATGGGAGGGCATGGGATTGGGGTGAGCTAAGAGTGTTGGTTCTGGAATCTGAGCAGAATTGGGGTAAACCGAGGTTGGCAGCCTTCAATATGAGCAGTGTTTTAATTCTGCCATGTAGAGCCTGCCTCTCTGTCCTGATAATGACAGTGTTAGGAAGAGTCCCTTCTGTGGCGCTCCCCTCCCCTTAGTAAACCTGTCTGACGACTGGCTATCAATCTTTTTTCTTTCCTAATCAAGGAAACAGTCATTAATCAGACTGGCGAAGGACCTCGATGACTATGAAGAGGAGAAGAAACACTTGCTAGAAATGGCGAGCTCGCTTCCGCGGTTCGAAGACGGCAGAGAGAAGGCTCTGCACCAGCAGTGCGGGAACACGGCGCTCCTGTGGGAGGGCGCGAGAGCCGCCGCCGCCGAGGGGTGAGCACGGGGCGCCCCCCACTCCGCAGGGTGCTCCCCAGCACCGCTCACCCGCGCCGC